CAACTACTGGGGCTCTAAAAATGCCACTTTTGTCTTTTTCTGTTCGGCCTTCAGTACCCGGCACATCTACCGCTTCAGGGTGTGGTACCGGCCTCCCTGCTACTTGAGTGTTTCCCCGCTGCTTCAAGTGCTGCAGGTCTCTTACCCCGCCACTTGAGTGTTTTCCCCCTCTGCAATCCTCAATGCTACGACCACGGTAAGTACCGTCCCTGAGGGCCCAACGAACGAACAAGTGCCCTTGCGGGCCACACACACACACTCAAGACAACCAGCACTAAGACAGACATGCAGTCCAGCAAGCGTGCACACACACTGACTTAGAGAACTTAGTAGCAAGCGGGAAACTCAGCAAGGCATTCAGTCTATGAGCAAAACTCATAAATCAGCCATGTGTTTCAGTCCATGTTTGGTGGGGTCATCACACATTCCAAGAAAACCCCAAACATGTTGCCAATGTAGTGATAGAACACCCAGATCTGGAGGTCCTTCTTACTCTATTTTTTCTTGGCCAAAACAATGTTCTACAAAAAAATCAACCGACAGAGACCAAATGGCTTCATTCTCATCAGTTGTTCAAGATAATGGTGTTCCAATGTCAGGAACAATGGCTAGCTTTTAGACCGGCTCTTTCGATAGATAAACTGACTTTTGATTCTGCCATACCTGGACTACACCAGTGGGAAAGGGACGAGCATGTACTCAATCGCTTTCATAGTTTAACTGTTAAATCTATAAACTGGATGTTAAGACCTAAAATACAATTGAGAGATAAAGTCAAGGCTCGATGGATACACCAACTTAATGTAAGAAAAAAAAAAAGGAAGACCTAAGGCGTATCAAGTGGTTTAAAACCATCAAAACAAAGCCCGCTACTATTACTTGACTGCAATGGCAGACAAACCATTGCTGCTAACCCACAAATGACTGACTCATTGGTAGGACCTCTCTAAAACAGACAGGGATAACCTTACCATGGTGCGGGTTTTGTTCTATTGTATTCCCTTCTTGGAATATTTCGGAGACCATGGAGCATATTTTATTATTTTCCTTTAGTGTCCAAGGGCGGTTTGGCTATGGAGGAGGTGGGATAGGATCTGGAGTCAGATAGGTACTTCCCAGCCATGACGATGAAGTCGACAATGCTAAGCCGCGGTAGTCGAGCGCAAGGCTCAAACCAGTGCGTGCAGGTATGGATTTCAAGACGTCAGCATCCCACAACACAGATACATGGCAGAGCCACAAGTAGTAGAGAAGGTGAGAGATGAAGAAAACACGGTACAAGCAAGCGCATAGCAGAATAATAACTCGCTTCCGAAAAATGTATACAAAGATCACTCAAGAAGCGAGCATGGCGATAGTCCCGACATGTTTCGACCACCTCGCCGAAGTGGCCATCATCAGGGGATGGCTGCGCTTGCGAAGATACTAATCCTAGTGGTATAAGTACTCGAAGAAAACATCCCGAGAAAAGCCTTCCACGTTTGACGTGCACGCCGCACATCCTCGTCACAGCGTGCCCCATACAGCTTCAGGTTGATGACGATACACCTAGCAGACAGAGACTAGATCAAGAGAAAGTACGAGAGGGCGGGAAAGAAGATAGAATAGCAGGGAGATCAGAGGATTTTGAAAAAAGGCGGGGAGATCCAACTGCATGGATAGAGAAAGGGGGGAGAGGGGGGAGGGGGGGGAACGTAGGGCAGATAGAAACTAGATCAGGAGATGGTATGGGAGAGCGGGAAGGAGGATGGAAAGGGGATCCTGGTCATTGAGGGCAA